GACTTGACAATTTCTACAGTTCTCACAACCTTTGAAACCTCTCCCACTGCTGCAGAAATCCAGAAAGCAGAAGCTTGCTTAGTTAGGGGCAGCTATGTGGTACAGTGGGTAATAGTGTTGAGCCTGGAGTCAGGAAGACCTGAATTCAAATGTGGCCATAGATATTTACCAGTTGTGTGACCTTGGGCAAGTTACTTATTCTGTCTCTACCTTAGTTTCCTCAACTGTACAAAGGGGGGGTGGGTGGGCCGCTAATAATAGTACTTGTTTCCCAGGGTTATTGTGAGAATAATGAGATAATATTTGTAAAGTACTTAGCACAGTGCTTGGCACTAGGCACTTAATAAATGGTTATTTCTTCTCTTCCTTCTGAGACAGCAGTATATATGTACAGCATTGGAGCTCAGCCAGAAAACTGAGAGACAGAGGTAACTAGGGTAAGGACTTGTATGTGACTGTGTGGGCATTCCACTAAGCCTGAGTGAAAGAGCCCAGCATTCATCTTGGGCTACTTTTATACTCCTAAATGTTACTTGGGGCAAACTAAGGCTTGTGAAACATGAATTGCCCAGGGATATAATGGAATACTATTGTGCTATAAGAAATGATGAGCAGGCAGACTTCAAAAAAAGCCTGGAAAGACTTACATGAACTGATGCAGAGTGAAATGAACAGAACCAGGAGAACATTGTACACAATAACAGCCATACTATGTGATGGCTGACTTTGATAGACTTGTCTCTTCACAGCAATGCAAGAATCTAAGACACCTCCAAAAGACTCATGATGGAAATTGCTATCCACATCCAGAGAAAGAACTATGGAGTCTGAATGCAGATGGAAGCATATTATTTGCTCTCCTTTTCCTTTGTTGTTTTGTTTTATTGCTTCATTCTCGTGGTACCTCCCATTAGTTCTAATTGTTCTTTACATCTTGACTAATGGGAGAATATGCTTAATATGAATGTATAAGTAGAGCCTATCTCAGATTGTACGCCATCTTGGGGTGGGGGAAGAAAATTTAAAACTCAAAATCTTATGGAAATGAATATTGAAAACTAAAAATAAATTATCAAGAAAAAAAGATGAAATTTAAAAAGGGGCAGCTAAGTGGTGCAGTGGTTAGAACTCCACCCTTGGAGTCAGGACCTGAGTTCAAATCTGGCCTCAAACACTTGACACTTACTAGCTGTGTGACCCTGGGCAAGTCACTTAACCCCAATTGCCTCACCAAAAAGCAAAAAAAAAAAAAAAAAAAAAAGACAAAAGAAAATAAATGATTGCAGTTTGGAAGAAGAGAAGAAAAAAGCAATAATATTAAAAGAAAACTTTATTTCTAAACAAGCAAAACATTGATCTTAAAAACAGGTTATATAGAGAGACAACTGAAGCAGTATAGATCTCCCAGAAGAATATGATAGCTCAAAAAAATTGAATACCATAATGCAAGAAATAATACAAGAAAACTGCTCAGAACTTCTGACACAGAAAACAAAGTACCAATCAAAAGAATCCACATACAGACTGTCTCCAGAAAAAAAAAACAAAAAACTCTGAGACTTCAAACTTCAAACTCAAAGACACAGAGTATTTAAATTAAATAATTCCATTGACAAACAACAAATTCTGCATGTGATGAGAAAGACCTTCTGATATAAGGAAAGGAAATTTGAATAACACTAGACTATTCTACAACCACCAGAAAGCACTGAAGAAAATGCAGTGTGTTCAGAAAAGCAAAGGAGCTTGAGACACAGTCCAAAGTAACATAACCTGCAAACCTGAGGTTAACCATTAATGAAAAAAGATAGAGCTTTAGTAAAAAAGATGTTCAGAATATTTCAAGAAAAAAAGACCTGAAAAAATTAATTGCTTTTCAGATACTCCAGACAATGGATATGCAAGAAAGGCAAACATATATGACAAACAAGGTCAACAACAACAAAATAACAGCATCTTTCTTTCTAAAAGTACATAAGGAGACAAGGCTGAAAGCAGAGGTCAGATAAAATTGGTGGAGATATGTAGTAAACCACACAACATCCCACTTACAGGTGAATTAGTGTGTTTTTGGTGGGGCTGGATTACAGAATGAGAAGGTACATGAAAAGGGGGAGGGGTGTGGAAGGAAGATAGGAATGTGTAATGTACCCTAATCAATTGGTAGAACTCACTTGTGATTCCAAAGGCTAACAATGAAGAGAAAATATCTTCTGTAATCTCTCATGAAGAAGAGAGCCTAGAGGACAATGGGCAAGGAAGCAAAGGGAGGATTTGAAATGGAGAAATAAAGAGGGAAATCGTGTTTCATTGGTGGGAGGGGGTACCACTGATGAATCCTTCCATGAGGGAAGGGAGAGATTCTGTAAAGTGATATGGGGACCTTATAGTGGGTATAATCTTTAGGGATTTACTGCTTAGAGAAACCGCTCATCTTGCCTCAGGAGAATCAGAAGGGGAATCAGAGCCCCTAGGTTGAGCTGACACCCAGACAAGTACGAGGGAATGGAGTTGGGGAGAAGATTTCAGGGCAAATAGGAAAAAAATGACCAGGGGGAAGGCAACGGTTAATAATAAATTTCACAATCAGGGAGATAGGAAAATTTCTACCATGGGGCAGTGCCTCTCACTTGCAGAAATTGGTATTTCTAAGAATGAGGTATAACAGAAAAAGAGGGGCAAGGGTTAAGATCTACAAGGCAGTAGTAACATAGAAACTCTTTAGGAGAGAGAATACAAAAGTAAGTAAATCAAAAACTTTAATTTTGTCAGGAATACAAAGCCTAAAGAAGGACTAAGTAAGTGCAAGGCTCATGAGTCAAAGAATAAAACTCTAGAATAGACAGAACAAGAAGATAAATAATGAAGTGAATGAGGGAAAGAAATCTGTTTTTAGAAAAAAGGTATAGAAAATGCAATTTAAAAACAATGAACAGAACAAGTTGAAGGGTAAGATGGCAAGAAGGATTTTACTTGACTACTTAACTGAGAGGGGAAGAATTAATTTACTCGATAAAAAGAAGAAGTTAAAAAAAATAAGCAAAACTCCAAAATCAAGGGAAAGGAGTAACAAATGGGAGGTGCACAGCTTGAGGGTAAGGGGAAGTGAAGGGAATAGAGTTGCCTTAAAATATGTTAAGCTAGAATAACTGAGGTGATAGTACTTTGTTTACAAAGGAAGAGGACAAATTAAGAGACAAATGGAAGAAAACATAAACCTAACTCATAACTTTAAATGAATTGAATTAAGCAATCTGATAAAGTGAAAGGGAATGGTAGATTGAATAAGAAAACAAAACCTGACAATCTTTTGCTTACAGAAACAAAAGACATACACAGAATAAAATTAAGGGACTGGAAAAGAATTTACTCTTCATCCGGTGAATCCAAAAAAGTAGGAGTTGCAGTCATACTATCAGACAGCGAAAACAGACATTTACAAAATGAAAAGAAATAAGGGAAATATGCAGAAAGAAACTATAGGTAACAAGCCAGTATTAATATTTAACTTTTATGTTCCATGTGCCTTAGCATCTAAATAAAAGAAAAATTAACCACAAGAAGACAGTAATAGAGGAGTGGCGGGAGATTTTAATGTCCCTCTCTCAGTTTTGGATGAGTCTAACAGGAAGTTAAGCAAAAGAGAAAATAGATAATTGAACAAATTCCTGGGGGTAGTAGAGCTAAAAGATGTATGGCTTCTTCTAAATAGGATTGCTTTTTTTCAGTACCACATGGAACTTGTACAAAAATTGACCAGATAGTGAGATGCAGAGATATTGCAAACTGATGTAAATAGGCAGAAATAGTGAACACATCCTTTACAGACTATATTACACTAAAAATAGTAATCAGTTTAGGGAAAAACAAAAGTTTCTGTCTTTAAGAAGCTTCTGTCAAGTTAATACAAAATATATGCAGATATTCAGATTGATCTGTAATCTCATAGATTTAGATATTTCCCCTCAAAATCACAGATTGTAACTCAGCCTCCTCATGTTGTACAACTCTTATCCCTGCCCTTCCATAAATTTGCCACAGGTAGGTCCACCCAACATACTGGGGACCTCCCTTGATTTCTCCTGACTTCGTAAGGTTGTTCATCTGTCACTTCTTATTTCAGCACATCTTCTCTTCCAACCGTGTGTTTCCTTGATGACATCTTTCACCCTTGTTCTTTAAGGTTCCTCATTGGCTATGTTATTTAGCCTGCTTACACCCATCATCCATTTCCCTCTGTGTATGCTTTTAGCTCATTTTCTTTGTAACTTATGAAACAAAGAAAAATATGAAATATATACAAAATAAATTTTTTTGGTGGGTGAAGAACAATAGGGATGTGGCACTTGAGCAGAGGCTTGAAAAAAGCCAAGGCTTCTGCAAAGCGGAGACAGAAAGAATATATCCTTTCAGCAAGAGGAGGTGGAATGTAATGTAAGGGATCAGCAAGAAGGCCAATGCAGCTGGACCCACCTTGTGGGGAATCAGAGAGGAATATAATGAGTGGGAGGAGAGAATGAATAGCAAAGCCCTTTGGGAAAGGGGTGGGAGAAGGAAGAGAGATGGGTTGCCCTCAAGAGATTATAAAGGCAGATAACTGGCATAGCCCATTTTCTGCCTGGATCAAAATTACTGTGATATAATGGGAGCACATGTGTCCTTTTTCCTCTAGCATTTTGATAGCTTTAAGCTTAGCCTTCATTGTCAATAAACATTTGGCTTCATGAAATGAAACTTTCTTAAAAATAGAGGGCCTTTCTAAATCCCAAGAACAGCTGTTCTTTGGGATCTACGTAGACCAAATCACCCACCATGTATTGCTTTTCACTTTGTAGGATTGTGTGATTAATGATGATTTATGTGATTGGTAATGATTATAGTATTCTCTCTAATTGTTTATTCCATTTGGAGCCTTTCAAATAATGAACCATACATTGCTGCTTTAGTTGTTTCATACCTTTAACAATTGGGGTTTTCAGTAATTTTTTTTCCCCTTTCAGAGAGAAACCAAAGCTTTGGCCTTCTTAGTTCATTGGCTGGTGCAAACTGTAACATTGGGTCAACTGAGAACCATCACACTGAAGTAAAGAGTAATTCTTATTTCTCTTATCCCTTTGATCTTCCTTTTTGTTCTTTGTTCTAATGTTATTTGTCACATTTTCTTTCTAAGAGAGAGGTGCCCATTTAAAAAGCAGTTTTGCCCTTGGGGTGGAAAAAGAACTAAAGAATTCAAAGACCTAGAGATATTGCTTATAACTGTGAGAGGAGATAGGAAGATGTGTGTGTCGCTTGTTGGCTGGAACCCAGCTTGACCATCATTAAAAAATAAGCCAGACTTTAAAGGCTCTGCTTTATTCTTTGCTAGTGATCTTTTCCAAATGCAGTGCTTCTTATCAAAGGATCTTAGCTTTTCCAACTTGTTCCCTCTTTTTGTCGTACGCTGATCTAAATTCAGTAAGCATTTATTAAGTCTCTTCTGTGTGCCAGGCCTGTGATTCAGGCCTGTGCTGGGGACATACTCTATAGATGGGTGATTTACCAATAATTCATAATCATAGAGAGCAGTCTGGATCACAGTGTGACAGACCCTATGCTAAGTGCTAGATATACAGATACAAACATAAAACATATGCAAGCTGTATACAAAGTAAATACCAAGTAATTTGAGGGTAAGCATCAGTCATTACCTCCTGTTGAAGAGGGATTTCAGCTGAATCTTAAGGAGGGAGCTAGGGATTCCTGGAGGTTAGCAAGAGGAGGGAGGGCATTCAGGATCTCAGGTGCAGCCTGTGCAAAGACAAAGATAGGAGGGTCTATGTCATGGGGGTGACAGCAGGTAGGCCAGTTTTGCTGGGGAGAGAGTTCGTGAGGGAGAGTAACATAAACATCTGGAAAGAAAAGTTGAAACTGTGTTTTAGAGGACTTTAAATGACAGAGGTGGTTGTACTTTGTCCTAGAGGAAAGAGGGCAGCCACTGAAGCTTTTCAAGCTGTACCTTGGGAGCATCAATTTCGCAGCTATGTTGAGAATTATAGGATCACAGTTTTAGGATGGGAAGAGAGACCTTTGAGGTGCTCTAATCCAGTGCTTCTTAAACTTTTTCTACTGATGACCACTTAAACTGGGTTGCCACCCCAAATGGGGTCTAGTCCAACCTCCTTATTTTTTGCGGGTGAAGAAATTAAGGCCGTAGATAGTTTGGAGAAGAAAGAGGCTGGAGGCAGGAAGACCAATTAGGAAGCTATTGCAATAGTCCAGGCAAGAGGTGGCAAGTGCTTATACAAAGGAGGTGTCCATGTGAGTGGAGAGAAGGGGATGCTGTAGATTTGTGAGTCATCTGTCTAGAGGTGACAGTTGAACATGATAAACTCGTGAAGAAGGGGAGAGAGAGAGACAGAGAGGCTCGAAGGGGCACTAGAGCCACACATAATAAGGTAGGGCATTTCAGCAAAAGAGACTGAGAAGGTTCTCAGATCAAACCTATAGGCCTTTATTGAGCACCTGCTATGAGGAGCTATAGGTGATAGAAAAGAAATGTAAGATGTAGTTGTTGCCTTCAGAAAGTTTATAGTATGGTTGGGGAGATTTTACAAAGCTAGTGCCTTACCTCTCAGATTACTTCCAACTTTCACTGTACATGTCTTGTAGATGTGTGATTTACATGTCTCCCTCATTAGAATGTGAATTCCTTGAAACCAGAGACTCTATTTGTCTTGTACCCCTAGCACTTAGCACAGTGCCTGGCACATAGTAAGTACTTAATACGTCTTGGCTTGACTTGAATTTCCTAGAATGTTTTTTCATTCACTTCCAATTTGATCAAGCTATAAGAGATATTTTGAACATTTAGTGGGTCATTTTTAAACTTGTAATTGTCTATGTGGACATATTAAGAGTTCTAAATTGTTTTCTTTTAAAACAAACAAAATTTTTAGAGTTCTTCATATTTAGAATTTTTTTGTTGTTGTTATGGTTCCTCATGACCTATTCTCACCCTTCTAAGAAAGCGTGGGAATTAAGATGTGAATTTACCTGGATTTAATTCTGAAGTAACACATTTGTTGTTTAATTGTTACCAACAGCCTCATTTGCCTGTAGGAGATGGGACTGAATGCTGCTTTGACCGTCTAGATAGCGCTTCTAACACAACTGACTCCCAGGTTGATAGCATTGTAGGTAAGTCTCTTTCTTGGCTACCAAGAAACACTTTGTTTAAGTTGGTTAGTTTGGAATAGAAATAGTGCTATAAGTCATTGAAAAAGAAGTTGATTTTAAAAGAGTACAAGAGAAGAAAAATGAATTTAAGCCCCATCTATAATTATTAGAATCAGAAAAAGAGGCAACTACTTAGCAAACATTTAGCTGCTGTTCTGTTGGTTTTCCTGGCAGGATTCTAGTATGCTGAAAGAGACAAAGCCCATGTTTTGTCTAACATTTGATGAAACAGTATGTTTCAGTGTTTATTCTTTTTTCTTAAAGTCAAACAATAGTATAATTCATGATTTTGTTGGTGATGACACACTTCCATAGGTTTAATGCTTTGTACTTTTCAAAACTATGCCATACTACTTCCATATCAATTATTTAGGGTAGATATTCTTATCAACACTTTGAAGATGATGAAACTAAGACTCAAGAACAGTAAGTGATTTGCTTAAAGTCACATTAGCATTCGATCTAATTAGATCTCAGCTAGAACACAGGTCTCCTGACATGTAGATCTATTGCATATAAACCATAGAATAGCAGAGCACAGTGTGAAGTCAATTATAGGTGTTTTTTAGTTAGAGGATTTCTGATGTCCCTTCTTTCCCTTTAGGCTGCAGAAGTTGGGAGATACTCATGTGCTTTTGACCTAACTTAGCCCCCTTCAGATGGCTTTAACTCTTCTCTGTTAGAAGTTTAATTCTCAGTTTGCAAATGAAACAAAATATAAGCATAACTTAATCTTTCATGAGGTGTGATTCTCTGGCCACTATGGAGAACGAGTGTATAGCCATGAGAATGATGTCTTAGAACAGGCCTGCATAACCTGTGGCTCACCAAAGGATTTCCTCTACATACAAAGAATGTTTTCCTCTATATTTTTTGTGGGCCACCCAAAATCCTTTGGCATGCTACAAGTGTCCTGTGGGCCACAGGTTGTGCAGGCTGTCTTAGAATAAGAAAATAATAGTTCCCTGATTATCAGTTCCTTGGAACAAAGTCCCACCTCACCCAGGCAATTTCCCCTACTCTGATCACCACTTCCTTCTGAAATTTAACGAAAATTATGCCCTGAAATTTAATAAACCTCCTTTCCTGACAAACACTCGATTTGCATTAAAGCTAGAGTAGTCCAGATAGATGGAGTTTAATTGGATGAGTGATTCCCTACAAATGGAGAAGTCCTCCAAATCTTCCTACTGATGAGTGACATTGTACTGCCTGCATAAAGCTCTGGAACATTGCATTACCTCCTAAATGAGATCTGTGATCACTTGAGTTTGGTCTTACTCTTCAAGGAAAAAAAAAACCACGTAAATGTTAAAAAAGTTGTCCAGACATTGATCTGCAATTGGAAGGATAACTTATAGAGTTGATCTATAGTACATATGTTTTGGACAGTAACTGCTGATAGATGATGAAAAGGGCCAGAAGTAAACAGGAAGAAGAAAATGGGCTGAATTGTATTTGGGAAGTTGTACAGTGCTCTCAGTGATTACATGTTTTTCCCTGAAACAAAGGTTCATCTCTTTAACACCAATATTTTTCCAGTAATGTACTTCCTATGAAACACCATTTATCAGCAAATCTTAAAATATCAAATTAAAAAGAATAAAAGTTGTAAGTAGCCAAATAGCAAAAGAGATTTATGTGGTAGGTGTGAATATACTATGGCATATCACTCATGAGGAGCTGGGCCAAGCTGATAGCCTGAGTGAGGAATAAGATATTAACATTCCATGTGTTCCATTGGTACCTAACCACCACTACCACCACCACCACTACTACCCCCACTATAGATTTATATAGCACTTCAAAGCACTTTACATATTAAATCAAATGAGATGATGAATGTAATGTCAATAGATTTAGAAGAAGGCCTCTAGCATGTTGGGAGAACATGGGCAGAAATTCCAAAGAATGGAAGGACATAAGGAGTTTCAGTCTGTACCTTTGGAGGGATTAACTATATCAGTGAGTTTATAAGCCCATCAAATTATATACTTTTATTTTTTTTTATTTTCTTTAGGCAATTGGGGTTAAGTGACTTGCCCAGGGTCACACAGCTAGTAAATGTCAAGTGTTTGGTCTGAGGCTGAATTTGAACTCAGGTCCTCCTGACTTCAGGGCTGGTGCTCTATCCGCTGTGCCACCTAGCTGCTCCTCAAATTATATACTTTTACAGATATAATCTTTTCTGATTACATTAGAAAAAATCCAAATAGAGTTTAGGTTAAAAATGTGTTTTAATAATAAATTCAAAAGTCCATCCTAAATAATTCAACACTTACCAATAAATAGGCATTTTATGTAGATGAGAAACAATAGCAAAAAAGGGAAGGAGGAGTGAGGAGAGGCACTGATGAAAGAGAGAGCTTAAAAACATAAGAGCATAAATAAGAAGAGAAAGGGAAAGAACATTTGAACTGATCATTAAAACTAGGTATGCGCTAGTTCTTTGGAAAGATAATGAATGGGTGGGGCGGCAGAGAGAGGATCATTAATAAACAATCAGAAAAAGAAAGAAAATTCCAGTGGGCAAAATTATAGTCAAAAAAGGAAAGATCACAACAAATTCAAAAGCAATTAACCATGTTATTAAAAAAAATTACACACAGCTGTATTCTACTAGGTTAGACAATGTAAAGGAAATCGTTGATTATCTATAAAAATATAAATTGCCAAAATGGATATAGTACAAAATTAATTCAAATAGACCAATCTTGGAGAAAAACAACACAAATCATTAAAACAAATCTGTATATAGGTTGAATTCTCTAATTCACTATCCCATAGTACAAGGAAAGCTCATTGAAGGCAAAGTTTTTTGGATTTTGTTTCTGTATTCCTAGACTTAATAAATGCATGTTGAATTTAATTAGATAAAACCCATTAGACAAAACATTCATTCATGAGAAAAATACTAAAAAGACTAGGAATGTGGTTTTTCCTTAACACAATAAGAAATATTCATCTTAAGCCAACAGCCAATATAATATGCAATAGAGAAACATTAAAACCATTGCTACTAGAAACAGGTACAAAATAAGGATGTATGCATTTATTTGACATAGTATTGAAAACTTTAAGAATTGCTATGAAACAGTAAAGGACGTTAACAATATTACTGTTTGCAGATGACATGATCGTATATTTAGAGAATCTCTCTCAACTAAAAATTAAGTGGAGATAATAAATGAGTATAGCAAGGTCACAGAATTTAAGATTAACCCACATAAATCTTTCAAATTCTTACATACTAGCAATTAAGATTAATAAAACATCATGAAGAAACCCCATTTATAGTAACAATAACCCATCCAATATATGGGAATTAACCTACTTAGAAATACAGATAACGTATATAAGAACTGTTGTAAAGCTATAATGATTGGGGTGGGGGGAGGACCTAAATAATTGGAGGAACATTCAGTGTTTATGATTGAATTAGATTAACATTATAAAAAGTGACAGAACTTTCCAAATTAATGTACATATTTTAATGCAGTGCCAATTAAAGTATGAAGTAGCATCTTCATAGAACTTTATAAAATAAAAATTAAATTTGTATGGAAATGCAAATGGACAACAGTTTAAAAAGATATGTTGGGGAAAATGCTGATGAGGGTGGGCATGAACTACTAAACTTTACAACATATTATAAATTGGTAATTATCAAAACCATCCAGTACTGGATAAAAATAAAATAAAGATAGACATCCAATCAAATATGTGTATTATATGTCTAATAGCTAAAACTTAACACTTATGTAGTGCTTTAAAATTTTACATGTATGGAAAATCTATGGAATACCACTTGTACAGGGATTCTGTACTATAGCCTGGAGTCAACCAACCCCCAAAGGGTCAATGGATAGGTTTCAGGGTCCATGAACTTGAATGGGAGAAAAAGTCACATCTTTTCTTTCACTTATCTTTGATTTCCTCTGTAATCCTATATATTTTATACATTTTAAAACATTCTGAGAAGGAGTCCATAGACTTGACCAGAATACCAAAGGGGTCTGTGACACACAAAATGTTCTGAACTCCCTACCTTAATAGAATGTAAGCTTCTTGATGACAATGACTGGATTTCTTTTGTCATTGTTTAGCATAGAGCCTTGTATGTGGTAAGCATTTAATAAATACTTGTGGAATTGAATTGAAATAATGCAAAATGGAGCAAAAAGAACTAGAGCAGAGTTATACAAGTGTACACTATAAAAGAAATGAGGTGACTTATCCAGAGTCTCACTCTGGCAGCGCCAGGGTATTCACCCCATATTACCTGACCTCAAGCCCAGTGTCATTTCCACTACAACCTGCTGCCAGAAAGAAAATGATCTTAAACCTTCAGGTGGTATATAGGTTTCATCATGATGCACTAAGGATAGTTATTAGGAAGAATTCTGAATACATAGAGTTCATGAGAATCAAAGGAACCAGCAGAACCTGTTCTCTGGAGATTGTAAAGATTTATTGATGTGAACGGATTTCACTGTCATGAGTGCCTGGAAAGGGGTGTGGTGCTTTTGTTTGTTAGGAACTTTTTAAGCCTTAGAATTCAGTGCATTTACCATTTGTGAAATCTTGCATTAATATTCTCACAAACATTGCTTTTAGACCCCATGCTAGATCTGGATATCCAAGAGTTAGCCAGTCTCACTACTGGAGGAGGAAATCTGGAAAATTTTGAACGACTTTTTTCAAAGCTAAAAGAAATGAAAGGTAAACAAAAATATTTTGTGAATATCTTACTTTAATTTATAATGAATGTACTTCAATCCCAAATGGTAGAAAGTAAATTTACCACCATGTTGTCTCACAGAAATATCATGTAGCTGAGTTTTGTATAAGACTATCATCCTTGGTTTGCATTTATGTGTGTGAAATCACAGCCGTAACATTGCACCAAGATGGCTTGAGACTTTTAAATGTAAGTTAGGTCTTATAAAAGTCTTTCTACCTTGTATCATTATCTGTGCCCTCAGGGAATAGTCTGTTAGCTAACAGCTGCTATAAACTCTGCGAAGAGGTAGGACCCTCCCAGATGTCATTCTCATGAAATTTTAACAATGGTTAAATGGATCATGATATGGTCCATTTTTTAAAGGTCTCTCTTTACTTATAGCTGCTGCTAATAAAAAGGTTTTACTATTATATCCTTTCCCCAGAATTCACATTTTGCCTCCACCTACTTTTATATTTATTTATTTCCCCCCCAATTACATGTTAAAACAGTTTTTTAACTTTTTTTTTTTTTAAAGTTTTGAGTTCCAAATTCTATCCCTTCCCCCTCCTCCCTCCCTGAGATGGTAACAAATCAGATAGAGGTTATACATGTGCAATCATATGAAACATTTCCGTATTAGTCATTTTGTATAAGAAGACTCAAAAAAAAAATAATGAAAGAAAGTGAAAAATAGCATGCTTCAGTCTATTCCCCTCTGCTGTAAAAGTGCTTTCAACATCTCTTTTTTGTGAGATAATTTACCCCATTCTCCCTCTCCCTTCTCCCTTCTCCTAGTGCATTCCTCTTTCTTACCTCTTAATTTTATTTTTTCAGATATCATTCCATCATAGTCAACTCACACCCATATTCTCTATGTATATACTTTCTAACTGTTCTAATAATGATGAAGTTCTTAGTGTTACATGTATCATCTTATCATCTTCCCATAGAGGAATGTAAACAATTTAGCCTTATTGAATCCCTTATGATTTACCTTTCCGGTTTACCTTTTTATGCTTCTCTTGAGTCTTGTATTTGAAAGTCAGATTTCTCTTCAGCTCTGGTCTTTTCATCAGGAATGCTTGAAAGTCCTCTTTCATTAGATGTCCATTTTCTCCTCTGAAGGATTATTACTCAGTTTTGCTGGGTAAGAGATTCTTGGCTGTAATCCCAGCTCCTTTGACCTCTAGAATATTATATTCTAAGCCCTCCATTTATTTAATGTAGAAGCTGCTAAATCTTGTGCTATCCTGACTGTGGCTGTGTGATATTCGAATTGTTTCTTTCTGGCTACTTGCAATATTTCCTTTTAACTTAGGAGCTCTAGAATTTGACTATAATATTCCTAGGAATTTTCATTTTGGGATCTCTTCTTAGTCGCTGATTGATGGATTCTTTCCATTTCTTTTACCCTCTGGTTCTAGGGTATCAGGGCAATTTTCCTTAATAATTTCTTGAAATATGAGGCTTACGCTTTTTTTTTTCTTTTGATCATGGCTTTCAGGTAGTCCAATAATTCTTAAATTATCTTTCCTTGCTTTATTTTCCAGGTCACTTGTTTTATCAATAAGATTATTTCACATTTTCTTATATTTTTTCATTGTTTTGATTTTATTGTTTCTTGCTATCTCATAGAGTCATTGGCTTCCACTTGCCCAATTCTAATTTTTGAGGAATTATTTTCTTCCATGTGCTTTTGTATTCCCTTTACCATTTGGCCAGTTTTACTTTTTAAGGAATTCTTTTCTTCCAGTAAATTTTTATACATCTGCTTCCATTTGGCCAATTCTGCTTTTTAAGGAGTTCTTCTCTTCAGTGGGTTTTTGTGCCACCTTTACCAAGATGTTGACTCTTTTTTCATGATTTTCTTGCATCACTCTAATTTCTTTCCCCATTTTTCCTCTACCTCTCTTATTTGACTTTTAAAATCCTTTTTGAGTTCTTCCAGGAATTCTGTTTGGACCTGAGACCAACTTATATTTTTCTTTGAGGCTATGGATATACCTGCTTTGATTTTGTTGTCTTCTTCTGAGTTCATGTTTTGGTCTTCCCTGTCACCATAGTAACTTTGTGTGGTCAGGTTCTTTTTTTGTTGTTTGCTCATTTTTCCAGCTCATTTCTTCACCTTCAACTGTATGTTAAAGTTGGGCTCTGCTCCCGAGTGGAGGGCACGCTGTCCCAAACTTCAGAGAGAGAGAGAGAGAGAGAGAGAGAGAGAGTGTGTGTGTGTGTGTGTGTGTGTGTGTGTGTGTGTGTGTGTTGCTGTTTTCAGAGCTAGTTTTGGGAGTGTGTAAGTTTTTAATTCAGTTCTTCCAAAGTGGTATGATCTAAGGAGAGGTGTGATCGTTGCTCTCCTGGCCTGTGCTCTAGACTGTGAAAACTCTTTTCTATCCTGGAACTGTGACCAGAGTCCCTACTATCCTGTGGCCACATGCTGTAGTGTGATAGTGTTTCTTCTCACCCTGGGACTACAGCCTGGAACCATATAAAGGCAACAGAGTCCTGCACTCAGTGCCATCAAAAGGTCCCCTTTAATCTCCTTCTGACCATTTGTCCAACCCTCTTAGCATCTGTAGGATGACAACTCCTGAAGCCACAGCTACTTGATTCCTGGATTTTAGAGGTCTCCTTTTTGGTGGCAACATTCCTGACCACATGGGAGTGGTCCATGATGTCATATGCCCTAGAGAAGTCAAAGAGAATAAGTCCGGGAAAAAAAGATGCTTGGACTTAGCAATAAAGAAGTCATTGATTACCTTCAGAAGAGCTGTTTCAGGAGAAGGATGGGGATGGAAGCCAGCTGAGAGGGGACTAAGAAGTAAGTGGAGGCAGCCAGGTTCGTAGGCATTTGCAGCGAAGGTGAGGAGAGAAATGCCAATATAGCTTGCATTCTGAGTCAGAGAAAGGTTCTGATGAGTATAGAGCCCAAGGGAAGATTTGAGCATATCTTTAGGGGAAGGGTGTGGTAGAGGGAGAAATTAAAGATGCATGAGAGAGGATGATTGATGGAACAAAGGCATGGAAAGGATGGTATTTGATTGAGGGTACAGGTAGAGAGTTTACATGTAACAAGAAGAGAGGGCTGCCTCCTCCTCTGAGACTGGAGGGAAAGGTCGGGTAAAGGGAAAGACTTTTAGCAACTTAGACTTAAGGGATGGAAGAGAAGAATTGAATGAGTTCATGGTTGTGTGGCCTCAGTCTTCTCAGTAAAGCAGTGGTCTGTGAATGAGGGGGAATCCCAATAGATAAACAAAGTCAGATTTCTGTTTCCTGGAGCTAATATTCCTTCTTTTCTTTTTTTCTCTCTTTTTCCTCACCCCTACCCCCCCCCAAGTATACACACACATTCTTATTAAAAGGGAATGAATAAGATATCTCCATCATTATGATCCGGAAAACCTAGAGGACTCAGAGTTCATAACTTTAATGATTGCACCACAAACACAACTCAGAAAGTGGCCTTATATCATCTGAGGTTAGAACTTCACAGCTTCAGGCTCTCTTGTGTTGTTATATGAACTTCCTAAATTCTGTTTCCTCCCTAGACAAAGCAGCGACTTTGCCTCATGAACAAAGAAAGTTGCATGCAGAAAAGGTAAGATCAAGCAGCTATTTATTAAAGCTGTGCTGGGTGTTAGGATAGTAATTGAGTTATATGTCTGCTTCCTCAGTAGAGGAAAAGTTCTGCTTGCAGATGTTGCATATCAGTTAAGAACTTACTCATTACTTACACATTATGAAAGCATTTATTACAATAGTCAAATCAGTCTTCAAATATGTATAATTTCTTTGAACTTGAGTGGGTCCTAGTCTAGCCTGAACAAGAGGCAAGAGATTTTATAACTGGTTGGAGTCTTCCAGTTACAAATATAATGTTGGAATTTTAGGTTCGTACATAGGATGAACCGTATATCAATCATAGATTTAGGTCTAAAAATGGACCTTAAAAGTCATTGAATCCAGCCCTCTTATTTTACTGTTGAGGAAACTGAGGTCAGAAAAGTAACATGACTTACTTAAGATAGTGTAGCCAGTAATTGGCAGAGCTAAGGATTAGATCTAAAGCCTCTGACTCTAAATGCTTTGCCTTTTCTACTTCATCACACTGCCTCCCAATAAGGAAGGGACTTTTTCAGGGTCACACAATAAAGTAGCAGAACTGGGATTCAGACTCAAATTCTTTGACTTTAGATTTACTGATCTTTCCCTGTACCAATGCCTCATATAGTTTTTGAAGTATTCACATATGTATGGCATGGATTTAGCTGTTACCTGTAATTTTATAAACTTTTGTCCACAGGTGGCCAAAGCATTTTGGATGGCAATTGGTGGAGACAGAGATGAGATTGAAGGCATTTCTTCTGATGAAGAAAACTGAACTTCTTGTGTCTGGTTAGCCAAGATGGTAACAACACACTTTAGTTGTGTTAAGGGATATTGGGAGCATGGGACACTGCACGGGTGGGAGAAGACAGACGCAGGTGTTACCTATGTCTAGCCCAGAAAAAGCGTTCCTCCCCATCCTTGCTGTTGGGGAGCAGTGGAGATGGAGCAGATGATTGCAATTCCTTGGGGGACATTTAGGGTCATCGGGAAGTCGCCAAAGCACTGTTGTAATTGTTAGGTCACCTAGAGCCTTCCCTCCAAGACACCTTCCTTGGACATGGAAACCCAGAAAGGCAAGCTCAGCTGTGGCCAGGATTCAGGTGCTTCCTACTAGACAAACTGTGGGGTCTTATGGCTGTCCTTATTTCTCATACCATACTGATACATGCAATTGGGGAAGCTGGGAGGGCTCAACGCCACAAGCTCTACCCCTAAGAATACACCCCACATGCCACAATGACCAGAGGAGGAAGGAGCAAGCCACGTAAGCCCCTCTCTGCTGTGGCTCAAGCTCTCAGCCTCTCACTAACTTTCAGGTTGTTGCCAGACTTCCCTCCTCTCACTTTTCATGCACACACACAGCTGCCTTTGCTTTGACATTCCTGCACTCATCACACCCAGGCTGGTTTCCAGCTACCTTCAAGCCACATACACTTGTGTTCTGTCTACTTCCTGACCCCTTCCCCATTCCCCATGGAATTGCAATCACTCCTTCCCATCCACTCCGAGGATGGTGAGGAGTAGAGGAGAAACCATCCCATACAAAGGACAACTGTGTCTGTCTTTCCCTCTTAGCTCCACAGCAGCCAAAGCCCTGACACTTCCTGGATGGACCCTGTTTTGTTTTGCTGAGATTCCCATCATCATGTTGACCATCTAGCCAGTGTAAAGGGTTGATTGTTGGTTTTGATAGTAGCTTACAGAAGGCTGTCCTCCCTCAGAGTCTATTATAAGGGAATGAAGAGTATGACAATTAGAAGTGAGCTTCCTCCAGATTTACTTTTTGCTCTAGAGGAGTGGGAATTAGCTACAGAAGCTCTTGCCCATGTAAATGAGTCAAGCCACTGTGGGCTATCCATTCTGTCATGGCAACAGTCCCTGTATTTCTATTCAGTTACCATTGCTCCTGAGTTTATACCATCATTCCCAGGACTTTATCTCCTCTCACTTTCTCAGCTAATTTTCAAGAACCAAGCTTACCTGATCCATGATGTCTTTCTTCCTTTTGTGAGGTGAGAAAAGAAAGGAGACCTCATGTTAAATTGGTAATTAAATGTATGGCAGCTCTGACCTTACTAAGTGGCACATGGTTTAATCTGTAAATGCAGATTTACAGAAATGTCTGTGGACTCTGCCTTTTAAAGGTTTCACTCCTTCTAACTAAGCTCATGCCAGAAGACTGTCTTGGACAGTGGATTTTATTGTTGCAGAAAATGAGCAGTTTCATTAAATATACAAGGAAGGAATAACCTTCACTACTGTTGTGTTTATATGAGAGAGAGACAGCCTTCTGAAGTTTCTAAATGGGATTTTAAAGAGCATGGGAGCAATATAATGAATGTAGCTGCCCCAATATCATCAGAAAGATAAAATGGAATAACAATAAGTATTTTAGTATTTCCCCACAAAGATCGTCTCCCGCTGCTGATGATACCCAAAGTAATGTTGTCACCCCATATATGCTTACAAATAAGTGAGGTATCCCATTCTTTTGGGCTACGAACCAAACTAAGATATAGAGTAGTGACAGTGGATGGTATAGAGGAGGTAGTGTTAGGAAACTAATTTACAACAAATTCATAAGTACTGTGATTGTAGGGCTTTGACATTTCCTATGAACCTTCCATAAATAGCAGCTCTGAGTGCCCTTGTGGTTTTTATCCTGTGAAAAAGGTCAATATGCACTTTTGAATGGAACAGTACTAAGGGGAACTCTCCCAAAGAAATAGCAGAGAGAGTTCGTGAAAATCATTTTTTAAAAGGCTGCTTTTGTGAATTACTTATTATCAGCATGGGAGAGTAGTGGATCTCACAGGCTACAAGCTAGACTTAAAAGAAGTAGAGGTTTGCTGGTGGTGGTTGCTCAGGTTGCAGGTCCAGGCCTGAGGCAATTCCAGAGGTGAAAACAACCTGGCATCTAGAGGAAGCCCAGGCTTGATCACACACAGGAGCAAGTCTGACCCTCACACATCCTCTTACACGTTCTACAGAAACTGAAATGAGGGAGCCGTAAGAACAGGACAATTCCAGCATACGAGACTGTCCTGCAGCAGCACTCTCCCCAAAGTGAACTGCCAACCACAGAAGAGACTGTGACATTCATGGTGTTTCTTTTAAGATGATTGTGTTAGCTATTCTATTAAGAACGTTGATGAAGTCCAGCATGAAGATGGGAGAGGAGGTTGGAGAATTTTTTCCCCTTACCATGACCAGAAGCATTAGGGAAACAGTTAGGTCATATGTATTAGGGAAAACTGATTGGAAAAAGCTGTGAACTTGATTTTATAAATTAAACATGGCTGGATTGATTAAAATGAGTGTTATTTATGAAGCCTGTTAATGTGTATTAGGTGCTTTGGGGTGGGGGGCTCATGTCATCACTTTACACTTAATGCTGAAGTGTTGCTCAAAATGGACATTTTTATAAGGCAATAATAACACATATGGATTTGCCAAGACCTCAAACATCAGAGGAAGAATGGCTCCCTTCAGGGTATCCTGAGTACTGGTAACTTATTCAAGACCCTTGGTAGCAATCAGGTGAAGAAGTTTGTGCCCCTATCACCACTGACAATTTCAAATTGTGGTCAACATGTCCACATGACTTTTGCCAAATACAATTCATCAGTGATCTTAAAGTAAAAAACCCAACTCAAAGTTCAAGTTTGATGGCCTTGTTTGGAAAGATGAGGGTTGATAGTGTTTGGGGGGATAGGGGGGATCACATAGATTTTGAACCTTTACACTAACTGAGAAAGCCAAGGTTTATAATAATTTGGAGTTAATGCAACTGTATACACACACACACACACACACACACATATATACATATATATATTATATATATATAATATATATATTTTATATATATATAATATATATATATATAAAAATTTGTATTTTGGAACTCTCACTTGGGGTATAAGAAGATTGACACCACCATTTTGCTTTCTTACTGTTTATAGATTTAGATGATTAAGTTACATGGAATGTAGTTCAAAGGCCTAAGCATATACTCGGTTTGTAATATTCAAAATGGACGTAAGGAACACTTTGTGTTCTGTCTGGAAAGGATAAAGAACTGAAAGCACTATTTTGTAGTGATTTGACTCCTTGTGTTGTCCTTTACATCTCACTTTATGCCCACTTCTTTAAGTGGAAAAAAAAAATGAAGGGCCCTTCTGCTTTGTTCTCCTTACGGAAATAGGGCTTGTAAAAACTACCGTGGTAGATGAAAGCACCATGGTCCATTCTGAACTTTAATGTCTGCTGACGTGGAGCTACAATTAGGAGACAGTTAACTGAAGTTGAGCAGTGGCACATTCTGGTTAATGAAGACTTTTACCAGAAACCTTATTGTATAGTTTCCAGTTTTTTGGAGGATTGTCTTATCATTAAGCAAATAGAGGACAACCAACTAAGCTGAGAAGGCAGCATGGCTTAGTTGAAGAAACAGAATACAAAGAGAAGGTCAGGAGCCTAGCTTTGTGACTGTGGGCAAATCAGAAGGAAAGCAAGTGTGGTACAGTGGAAAGAGACATGTAAAAGTTGGGATTTGGGTTCAAATTCTGGCTCATCCCATAAACTGCTTATGTGATCTTGGGCAAATCGCTGAGCTTTTCTGGGCCTTAATTTCTTAAGCAGTAAAATAGGGTTAGAGTGACCTCCTATCTCTGAATCTCTGATCCTGTGATCTTAAATGTCTGTGATTTAGTGGCAAGAGCAACCCTGTAGTATGGCGGCTAAAAACAATCTGAAGCTGTCTTAGACTATGTTTTAAAAAATAGAATGTGTAGTAAAAGGGAGATCCTTTGTACTTGTACATACAAGTCCAGATGCCACACTTTGGGAGAAATTGATGAATTGGAACATCATCCTGGTGACCAGGATGAAGGACATGAACCATATTACATGAAAAATAACTGAGGTATTTTGCCAGGAGAAGAGAAGACTTAAGGCAGACATAATAACTATCTTCAAATATTTAAGGTTTCTCATATGGAGAGGGGATGTTGGAGTTATTCTGTATATGGCAGAAATTATAGAGAGAAAGAATGAGAAAGAATCTTGAATATTAGTAAAAATATTCTAACAGTTGGAGTTGTTTTTAAAAAACGTATTTTTAAAAAGCAACTTCCAGGAGCAGTATTGGCATTAGTGAATGCTTAACCTGATCTTATTTACTTTCTAATGCCTAAAACTTATGTACACAGTAATGACTCTAAGGCACTGTCATATCCTGCAGAGATCATCTATTCCAAGCCCTTTGGAATAAGGAAATTGAGGCCTATAGAGGTTGTAACTTATCCAGGATCATGCACCTTGTATTTAGTAACAAGAGTCAGAATCAGAACTTTGGGTCTTTGACTCCAAATCCAGTACTCATTTCCAGAATCCTTAGATCTTTCTACCCTAACTTTAACTATCTAATTCATCTAGTTCAGGAAATCTAGTCATCTGAATTACAGAAGTAATTTTTTTTCACCTCACTTATCTTCACTTTTATTCTTCTGTAATTATTTCTTTTTTCCTTTATAGTTTATAGTTCATTCTCCTTAATAGACAAAATAGTTGTTGAGATTATTGGAATAGTGTTTACTATGTGCCACACTCAAGCTTTATGTCTCAACTAAAAATCTGACCTGTAAGGAGCCTTTCCTGCTTTCTTATTATTAATTCCTTCCCTGGAAGATTCTTCCATCTATCCTGCATGTTTCTTGCATATACATAGCTTTCATTTTGTCACTTCCTTTAGGATGTGAGCTCTTTGAAGGCAGGGAATGTTTGCCTTTCTTTGTATACCTAATGCTTACAGGTTCATCCCATTGTTTTTTGTGTCCTTTTGCTGTTTTTTACACAATCTTTTCAGTTATGAGCACATTGGATAGTTCCCTATGAAGCCACATCAGTCTCTTTAAATGTTTCCCTATTCCTCTCATCAGGATCATTTGTGGTTGTTTTGTTATCATTTTGCTTTTGAGAGTTTCCCATCCCTCTTAAATTATCTTACCTTTTAGAGTATACTCATAGAATCATGCCTAGCATTTCCCTAAAGATTCTTGAAATCTAGTTTTTTAAATTTTAGGAGAGATGCTAATAATACCCAGCATTGACCTGCTCCTTTACCTTCTTGGTAAGATGACATGGCCATATTCTCCCAAGGCTTTCATTCCTTTCACTTCACCTCTTTGTTGATCAGAACTAATTCCATAGTATCAGTAACTTCCTGATACAACTTCGTGGAAAATGAAACTTTGAGCAACTCTTGAGTAGTTTCTCATAGCCAACTCTTGCACATTACTTTGTTATTATTGTTTATGCATCCGGACCTTTAAGTTTGGGCATTTACTCAAGGTTGTATATGTAATACATCTATTTTATTCCTTGTACTCTAATGATGTTTCTCAGTTTTAAGGAATGGATAATTAAAGTAGGAAGTAGGAGTTGATTAGCATAGTAGTAATGCCACGTCTCAGTTCCAGACATTAATATTTATAATGCTACCTTTTTTTCTTTTTGGAAAAGCAGAGATTCCAAATCTGAACTTAGTTGTTATTAATGCAGCCTTGGAATACAAACATGGGGGGGGAAAACAAATCCAAAAACCCCATTTTTTTTTCTGTCATTTTTGGCTTCCTATCTCCCTTCAAACCCAAACAACTCCTCTCTTACCCCTTTAAAAATGTTGAAACATTTACAGGCCAATTAAAGCTATACCTAGCAGTCAATATATTTGGCAAGAGACTCTAGAAATCAAACAAGCAAATTCCTCCAGTTTGATATCTCCCAATATACTCCTTGCCCATGAGATCTTGGCCTTTGGCCTCTTTCTCCCATCCATTTCTGTTTGATCATCCATTCCTCATTGATCAAGTGGCCATAATGCTTTATGATGAAGGAAAGTGCAGTTAAGCCTAGGCATTAATGTATAGTGAACACTGGCATTTCATCAGGATCTCAAGATTATGGATGAGAGTCGATGGCATCTTGGTCTTCTGTGCCTGGTCTGATGGTTATAAGGCCTCACATCCAGGTAACAGAATATTAAATCAATCAAAACTATTAAAAAAAGACTACTTGGTGTCTAGTATAAGTTCTTCTCCCCTCCAAGTCACTAAGATCTAAAGCAGGAGGTATCACTCAGTGAAGCTCTTGAACTGAGATGTAAAAAGAATTATTCAAATATCTCTTTCCCACTCTTATTCTTTAAAAAACACTTCCCCCCTCCCCACCCAAAAGCAACAACTCTAAACTAAGGAAGTTCTTGTTCTACATTCTCTTGGGATAATCTAAAAACCATCAAGAGAAAAAGAGTTTAAAATTCCAGCTCTAGTCCTTTGAATTCAAAGTCAAACATTGGAGGAGCCGAGGGATTTATACAATACCTTGTAGACTAAGGTCCCATCCAGCTATATCATTCTATAAGCCAACAAAAGGCGGTAACCAGCACTGAAAGGTGTTGAGAATCTGTTTGGCGAGTTGTTTATGATGCTATAAATGAATTTCCAGATGCAGTTTCCAAATAATTGGGGTCTTGCATAATGGAGACATATGAAAGTGCCCTACCACAGACTCAATTGGGTTTGTCATAGTTGAGCAAACCAAAGAAGGGAAACACAACAGGTGCTAACAGCCCAATCCTAATTCCTGTGAAAAGCTCAGTCTCTGCCCTTCGCTGGAAGGTGTGCCTATTAGAAGTTTTCTGTCCTACGTTCATCAATGTTGAGGTGAGCAGGGGTCTTTCTCATTGTTTAAAGAATGGGAATGGAAAAGTCAGGCTATAATTTAAATAGCCACCAACCAGATGCCAGGTGTTTGTACCCTTAGTATATAAACATTTGTTGTGGATACTGCACAAAAGTGTGTGACAGAATAGGACTAGGTACATCTTTACTGCTGTTAAGTTTCCCCTTCTGCTTGTCCACAATACTAGAGCACCTATGATTTTGGGCAACTACTTTAAAACACTTTCTAGTCAGAGATAGATAGGGGCCCACAAAAGAATGTCATCTCAATAGATTAATTTTTTTAATTAACAGTTTATTAGAATGACAATTAACAGTTTCATATCATAGAGGGAGGGAGAAGGCATACAGATCTTTAACAATAGAGGTACTATGCTTAACAAGCAGGTGCTCTTTTCATAAGAATAAAAAAGTTAGAAAAAAACCTCTAAAACACTAAGTACATACATGCTCTTACATAGCTATTAAAAGGCCAAGCTTGGTAGAGAAGCAAAGGTAATGAACACACACAGCCAGCCCCCTGCCCCTCCCAAGAGTCAATCATAACTTGGATATGACAGTGAAGTGGGTGAAGACTGATCATGTTG